TGCCACTAAAATAAGATCTCCAGTCCTCCCACTCTACTACTCAATTAAAGTTTTTCCATAATCCCAAAATCTTAAATAGGACTCACCAACCTTATAAAATTTAGTTATTTTGCATCATAGATCTAAAACTTCCAAAATTTCTTATTCTTACCACTCCTTCCAGCAGAGAGAAAGTCAACTCTGCCCCTGCCAATACCTGCCTCTTGACATTTGGGGAGCTCAGGTCTCCAGGCCAAAGTCTGCTCTCAGTTGTGTCAGCAAAACTGAGGGCAGAATTTGGGCTTCTTTCCCCTGGTAATGTGGCTGCATGGTGCTGAGTTCCCTGAACGTTAAGTCTGAGGTTTGGCATTGGCCATTTCTTCCTTTATTGGTTCTAGTCATATTGGGCTAGATTCCATTCCAGTCACAGGCAAAAATCTGATTACCTTCAGTGCTAAAGGATCAAGCCCAAATACAGAGTCTATGGGATCATTACGAGCATACAAAATACAATGTGTTACACAGATATCAATTACTGCCAGTACAACAGCCTGTGGATCTTCTGTGCTGCTTCTCCATCTATTTTGGCAATGGCATCATGAAAATTAATAGTATGAGTCTTTCCTACAACTTCCCTGTGTCACATTTATTCCATTCATTTTATGTGGTGTTTCCCTTTGGGGAAAGTGGAATTGTGTGGATCATTTGTTTTCTTTTGTAAAAATTGTAAGATGGCAGAATGGTCTGATATGGAACATGTACTGTGCATGAGCAGTCACACAGGTTTCTTCCGCATTCACAGCAATGCCAATATTTTTTGGAGCATTTCTTTGGACTGTATCTAAAAGCAGAGCCTACTGACTCTAGTCAGACCAGCTCAACTTTCTCCACACTTCTTTACAAGTTTAAAGAACATTATTAAGGTTGCAAAGTCAAGCCCTCAAAAGTTAGGAAATACCAGAATTCAGACTGCATGTGAAACCTTAATTCACTCCCCTTGTGTGTATGCATTGCAATACAGTCTTTAATTACATGATGGCGTACTATTTTTTCCACAGAACCCCCTGCTCATTCAGTGCACAGAATGGAAGGTGCTCAATTAATGAACAGCTATTTAATATTTTGTTTTCTCAGCATTTGTTCGAAGTGTAGCCACAGGGCTTATTTACTGCACAGCGTTCTCTCCCCTCCCACCAGCCTCCTTGCCCAGACTCCCCTCTGGCTTCTGCCCCCATGAAGTCTAGCTCTTGTGAATTCTGGATTCAAATCAGCACAAGTTGACAAGCTCCTTGCTCTCAGGTCTGGTGCCAGACCTCAGCCCAGCCTACAGGAGACCAGAGCTGCAGTTATAGGCAGAATTCTGCTCAGCCCCTGGATCCTGCCCAGTGTGGACAGAATCTTTTGGGGATTTAACGACTAAAAATCTACGCATGTTCTACTGAGCCCATGCAAACTGATTTTTCAAGAGCCTGTAATTTGGGCAAATTTGGACTGATTTTCACAAGGAAAGCAAAAAGCAAATCCTTGACACAGAAGTCCCCCCTGCTGCCAAATGTCAAGCCCCAGCTCTAAAGTCCGGGGATGCTAGCACATTTTTTTCATAGAAAAGATCAAAGTTTTTCAATATGGGCAAACCAGTTATTTTTCCCTCGTCTTGTTCTTGGAAGTGGCTGAACCATTGTGGCTGAAAGTTTTTTGGGAAAAAAAATCACCCTGCAGAAGAAACCAGCGTGGAAAATTTCAGCCCAAATAGTTAAAATTTGGCAAAGCTATGGGCAAATGAAACAGAGCCTTATAATAGGAAGTGACTCAGCCCCACCTGTAATTTATATAGTGTAGAATTTACACATTTACAGCATTCTGCAAACAATCTTCCAGTGGGTCATGGACAGATTTTGTGAGCAAAGACCAACAGAGGGAATGGATTTTATATTTTCCTTCTGTTTCTATTCAAACTTCCTCCTTTCATGCTGCCGCTGAAATTAATAGGACCTCTGCCACAGGCTTCATCACAAGCAGACTCTAGGATGGCATTAGACCCTCAGTCAAAAAGAGGAAACAATTTCACAAATCAACAAGAGAAAGGCATCTAGAAAACTAGGTACAAAACTTATAAAAACCAGTATATCTTAATCTTTTAAATAAGGCCATTTATCCCAGCTTCTGTTAGTAGGAACAGTTAATGGGCATCATGTGCCTGCATTGAATAAAATTAAAATACAAAAAAATACATACTATTCTGAGCCAAATATTTCCATGTTTCTGCATCTTTGCATGTGTCTTGAGATTTAGTATTTCCCTATGAACACTTAAAGCATGGGATTAGCAGGAGAAAATGCTTTTTTCCATGTTTTAATTAATGTAATTATATTAAAAGAAGTGGAGCACAATGTTGAGAATTGCAGCAGTGCAAAGGGCTTGATACTGCATTGGTATTTTCATTTTAAAGCTGATTTTCAGTTATAATTTAACAGTATGGTGCTTGCTTACATGCTGAAAAACTTGAATAAAACATTGTCCCAAAAAATCTGCTTTTAGTAAGTTGGCTTTTTTAAAAAAAATATAGAAAGATAAGAGAGAATATGTTGGGTTGTTTTAAAAAATATCCTTGCCTCGTTGAAGTCAATAGCCAATACCCATTAACTTCCATGATGCCATGATTTCATCCCTTATAATCAATAATCTGTCCACAATTCTTTTATCTGAATTTTGGTTCCATGTTTTGCTTGTCATTGTTTTTAATTTGCACTGTGATTGTAGAGGTGTTGGTCCCAGAGAGACAAGATGGATGAAGTGATATGTTTTATTGGACCAACTTCTGTTCGTGAAAGAGACAAGCTTTCCAGCTTCTACAGGGCTTTTCTTTTTCATGCTTCCCTACATTGTATAATATTCTGGACAATGAACACCTATTATTGTAGGGACCTCTTGATACCAACTGCTAGCAGTGCATTAGGGTTACAGGGATCCCCTGGTCCGGAATTTACATTCTAGTTGACGAAAAAGTGTCAAGTAAGGTCTCTAATGAAAGCCTGTGTCATACTGGTCATCTCAATGATTGAGCGATGTATGTACAGGTGATATTTAAAGAGTTGTGTATGTATGTACACAAATTATGTTCTTAAAGCATATAAGGTGACATGTTTTAGAATGGTTCCACCAGACAGGAAGTAAGAAATGTTTAGCTGTCTGGCTACATGAAAGTGAAGTATTGTAAGCTTTACAGTGGAGACACATTTACATACTGAGTCAAATGCTAATGCAGGGATGTGAAATCAATGAAAAAAGCACACAGGAAAAAATGAGCTGTGCAGAATGATATCCTGATCTCAAACTAAAACAATGGTTTGAGAGACTATATCTAGGAGGTGCAGAGGAACCCCCAGTGATTACTTCAGTCTGTGAAGACAAGCTGCCAGTGGACTTGATCTCAAGAGCAAAGGTCTCAACTAAATTAGTTGAAAACACTGTGGAAAGGACTTGGGGTAAGCTGTTTTGTTAGTCTCTAGAAAACATGTTATGATTTTGTTTTATATGCAACCATTTGTTACCAATATTCTCACTCTCTATCACTTGAATTTCTGTTTGATAATAAACTTATTGTTTTCACTATATCTAAGCATTCTGTGTTAAGTAAAGTGGTGATCCCGAGTGGAATTTTACAACCTGGTGTACACTATTCCTTTGGGATTAGCAGAAGTAAGAGTTCTGTGAGTGCTCAATAGACCAGGGATTGAGCACTCTAGAGGAAAGATAGTCTCTATATGTGCAATAAGATCTCACATGTGACCTACAGTGTATGACGTAAATGTCTCATGAGAATAATAATCTTCGTGCTTGCAATATAGAGGCAAATAAACATGTAGATTGACTAGTGTTTTAAAAACGCATGAGGATAAACTAATTGAACATAAACTCATACATTTGTAAAATACTTGAAGGATTATGAGGTGCTCAGATGCTACAGTCTAAAATAGATTGATTCTGATTTACCTGCTTGATTGAGGGCCCTATCCAAAGCCCATTAAAAAGTCAGCAATACCTTTTCAGATTTCAGAGTAGCAGCCGTGTTACTCTGTATTTGCAAGAAGAAAAGGAGTACTTGTGGCACCTTAGAGACTAACACATTTATTTGAGCATAAGCTTTCATGATGCATCCGATGAAGTGAGCTGTAGCTCACGAAAGCTTATGCTCAAATAAATTGGTTAGTCTCTAAGGTGCCACAAGTACTCCTTTTCTTTTAGTATCTTTTCAGCAAGTTCTCTTTGCTGCTGCATCTGCTGTGCTTACCTTTAGGTAGAGCAATCAGGAAGAAGGAGTAAGAGTACGTGGCATCAGTGTTCCATGCTGAAGATCTTTAAACTATCTTTGTCAGCCCTAGATGATTTTAAAAACAGGATGAAAAAATTGGGATTTGGGTTTTTTTTTTTTTAGGGTTTTAGAAACTCTTTCCTTGAAAAATACCAGAAGGATGTTGTCTCTAAATATTAATACAATTGCAGTATTGTAGCTGGAGTCTTTAAAATTTATTAAGGTAATATAACCCAATAAAGGCTTGAGATACAAACAGGAAAACAGATTTAAGTTTCAGAAGTAGAAAAGTTTGGGGATAATTTAAGGAAAAGCAATGGAGTTAAATGTGAAAAGAGAGTTTTAAATGGCACCATATTCATCGTCATATTATTTATGCTCATTTTTCAAGAGAGTCTGTTTTAATAAGACATGAATTCTGGATCTGTGTGATTAGGAGAAACCAAGTAAATGACATAATAAAAATAGAAGTTTTATGGTAACTAAACCCAATAAAACCTTTGTTTTAAAAGTACACCTTAGAATTGAACCATTTCCTCTTTAAAGAAAAATAAGTGTCTTATTTCTGATACATGAAAATAAAGTTTGGGGTTAATAGAAAGTAGAGTTTTCCTCTGAGACTGGCTGTTAAAAATCTGGAAACACACAAAGGAAGAAAGAACAAAAGAAAAAAGAGAAATAAATATTTTTTTTCATATTTATTTTGCAGGAAATATATTTGTTGTAAGCCTGGCCATTGCAGACTTGGTAGTGGCGATCTACCCATACCCACTGGTCCTGACATCTGTATTTCATAATGGATGGAATCTGGGCTACCTCCACTGCCAAATTAGTGGTTTCCTGATGGGCCTAAGTGTCATTGGATCAATATTCAACATTACAGGCATTGCTATTAATCGATATTGCTACATCTGCCACAGCCTCAAGTATGACAAGCTGTATAGTGACAAGAATTCTCTGTGCTACGTCATTCTCATCTGGATCCTGACATTTGTTGCTATTGTTCCTAATCTGTTTGTTGGATCTCTACAATATGATCCACGAATCTACTCTTGCACATTTGCACAATCTGTGAGCTCACCGTATACAATAGCAGTGGTGTTTTTCCATTTCATGCTTCCCATAGGCATAGTTACTTTCTGTTACTTGAGAATATGGATCCTTGTTATTCAGGTAAGGCGAAGGGTTAAACCTGACAACAAGCCCAGGCTGAAGCCACATGACTTTAGGAACTTCGTCACCATGTTTGTGGTATTTGTACTGTTTGCGATCTGCTGGGCTCCTTTGAATTTCATAGGCCTGGCTGTGGCTGTCGACCCAGACACAATAATCCCCAGGATTCCAGAGTGGTTGTTTGTATCCAGTTACTACATGGCATATTTCAACAGCTGCCTTAATGCTATCATATATGGACTTCTGAACCAGAATTTCAGACGAGAATACAAGAGAATTATTGTCACAATTTGTACAGCAAAGGTTTTCTTTCAGGATAGTTCTAATGATGCAGCGGATAGGATGAAAACCAAACCCTCACCACTGATTACAAACAACAATCAAGTGAAGGTAGACTCAGTGTGAAATTGGGATCCTCACCATTGCCAATCTACAACATTCAAACACTAGTTCTGTTTTATTAGCTACACAGTTGAAGTGCTGTACTGAAATACTAGTCCTATATGAAAGGTACTTGGACAATGTTCTGTGTACAGTATTTGTGAGCCAAAGTAACACAGCCTTGACATAAAGAGCCTCCTGTTGTACAATATGTCTTTCAAATAACGACTGACTTATATGCTTAAGGTATTACAGGGTTACAGAATTTTTTTAAATTTTCTGTTTAACATCGATAACTGAAGATGGATGGGAACTGAACTGCCATATTAACTGGCTGTTTGAAAAAGCATCAATCTGGACTCCCTAAATTGCAAGGCAGGTTATGGTACTGATCTTGACACCCTTAACAACTTCTGTTAAAGGAAAAATGGGAGCTATTTATTCCAGTGTGCGGGAACATGAAAAGAGGAGGGAAAATACTTGAAATGTTTCACTAAGAATCTCAGTCTATATATTTAAGTTCCTAGAGTAGTCATAACTTTGTGGCAAATAAGCCTTACCACTCCTTTCAGGTAACTACACAGCCCTTGTTTAGTTCTCCTCTTTAAAACTGTTTTTAGGAGGAAAAATATGCATGTCTGATTATCTCAAAAGCTACAAGGGCCTATAGAACAGCTTGGGGTATGCTGGGGGATGGCAGGGAGTACACATGGGTTCAGCAGGAACTCAAAGAACATGGGGGGGTTTTGAGGTATGGGAACTTCCAACTTCCCTAATGTCCAGGAGAAATACAATGGGAGAAGCTTGGAAGCCACCCAAAAGGAGAGAATGGGGCAGATATCCTCTGGAGATAGTAGAGAGAAGTGCCTGTTGCTCCTCTGTGACCTATGGGTGGCAGCGGGAATTGCCAGGCATGGACCAAGAAGCCAAATGCACTTATGAGGGCACCTGAGGGGAATGGGAGTTTGTTTTGGGGAGTGACAGGGCCTCCATGGGTTCTGACTGCTTAGCTGAACTCTCAACCACATGAAGCCTGGAGGATTGAGATAAGCATATCAGATTCACTTACTGCTTCCCAAAACGAGCCTGTGACCCTGTTCTAACCTCTAGAAGCCCTTAGAGCCCTGGCTGCTTCTCAAAATTGTCCAAAAAAGCTTTTTGAAATGTTGGTATCTAAACACCTCATCCATAGTTACCAGTGATGAAAATGGTATAAAAGCCTAGAGAGATTAACAGACCAGAATAATAGAGAAGAGAAAAGAGAAGGCACCACTACCCTGTGGTAGAGGGACAAAGGAATAGATGGTTCCCAGTATTGGACCAGCCACTCCCTATGTGGCCTACCCATAGATGTGTTCCATGCATGGGCAAGAGATGAAGAGGGTGGGGAAGGGAGGAAGTGCAGCTAGGCAGGCCTTGGCCTTCTACAGTGAATCTCCACTTACAGTGAACTCATTTGGTGATTTTTTTTTTTTACAAGAGTAGGTTTCAGCTTTTTCAGTTAATGGACTGAGATCCTTTCAAACACTATGCAAGGATTGTTCTCTCACTAACTCTCATTATCATTAAAAGGAGTGATCACTGAATTAGATCTGTAAGGGTTTCAGCTATCATAGCTTTCTAATCATTAGCCATCCTATCCTGGAATATATTTACTTCCCACAATCACTGATGCTTGAGTTTTTCCAAGACAGTTCCAGCCATCTCTACAAGACTAAAAGGTTTTAATAGTTTATCAGCATTTTATTATTATATGTTGAAATATATACTATATTGAAACTGGTCCATTAAAATAATTACATGATACACTAGAAAAAGATTTGGATTTCAACACGTTAGATGTCTTTGAAAACATTAAATACTCACTGTGTTCTATAATTCCTTCACTGTAGACAGCCTTAAAAGTATCTCATGTCTTTTGGGCATATATTATTGTACACTTGACTTAATATAAATTATGAGCTAAACAGAACATTCATACATACTTGAAACCACACTAACATTTTGGCAACTGAACAGTTTCTTACCTTAAAAACAGGTGCCTCCTGTTGTCCTTCACTCACTTCAGGCTTGTAATGAACCTAACTAACTAATGATGAAACAATGTCCAGATGAACAGGCCAGTCAATGCATTATCAAGGTGTTTGACTCATCTTTGTTTACATTCAGATCTGTGTGGGCAGTCAAAACCGCTCTGTAAATAACCAGTTCTCTTCTATTGTGGTATCATCATGTGATATGATTAACAGTATAAAGTACATCACAGCTTCCTTCAGTGATTTCATCCTTAGAGGATGCTTAGCCGTGTACTGGCATTGCTTATAGTGTGTAGTTATAGCACAATAATGAGGGAGGCAAGACCACCCTATATGAGTCACATAAGAAATACACTATTTAAATTACTACAAAAAGTCTTGCCTTATTTAAAACAAATATTTTCACTTAAAACAATGTAATATTTTGTGGGGAATCTGATAAAGTAGTTTCAGTAGCCTAATCATCAGTGAATGTAGTATTGTCAAAGGTTTTTTTTCACTTGCCCGTTTCAAACTGGAAGCTTACATGTTTATCACTTCTACACACGTATAAGCCTTGAAACAGCCATTAGTGTGGGTTATCTGAGGACTTAAAATCCCTTTTAATTCACAAGTGCGAAAATATATTTTTGATTATAATAAAACTCATTTGCTAGACACAATAAATCATATATTATACCAAAGGTCTATATTTTGGTGAACAGGCCTGTAATTAAAATTGAGAACATTTTTCAGATCTGGTATTTTGAAGGATTTATATTAATATTAAAACTAGAGAAATTGTGTATGTTGGTGATGATATGAGCTGCTAAATAGAGCAATAATTGTAAAAAGACTAATCCCTTGCTCTTTTGGGGGGTATTGTTGCTTGTAGCTATTTGTTTGCCTCCAAATTAACACAGATGACCAGCTGGCTGGAACTTTTAGGAAATTATTTGCTGACCTCTTCAAATTTTTCTGCTTTTTTTTCGACCATTCCATAGTATGTTTTTAGGAGTGGTTTCCAAAGTCACTCCCAACCAACAGCACCTCCAAATGCAAAACAACTGCAAATTAAAACCAAATTTATATTGTTTAAGTTCCCTAGAACGATTTATGGCCTGATCCTGTGAGGTGCTTGCAACATGATGAACAGCCTTTGTTGGAAGTTGCTCAGCACCTCACAGAACTGGGCCATCTATAATCAACAAGTAATGCCTGGAGAACATAGGATGCTTCTTTCTCAGTAAAACTAGAACTAAGCTCCGGCAGTTGTGGGGTTTACCCAAACAAGTCTTGCAATTGAACTGTACAAATGGATGATCCCTAAGATATAAGTAAAGATATTTTTACCTTCAAAGTGATGAAATTCACCCCTGTGTAAAAGACCAGTATAGGACTGCTACACCACTTAATCCAATTAAACTGTATTTTGGAGGCTTAAGTGGTGCATAGGCCCTTTGAATAGGGGTGATTTTCACTCTTTAAGGACCCAGTCCTGCAATGTGTTACACATGGATAGACCTCTGCATTTGAACTTAGCCTCAGTGAAGCCAATGGACATCCAGGCATGAGCAGGGATACACCCAGGTGCAACACATTGTAGGATCAATGGCTAAATGCGTCTCAATTTTCCCTATGAAAATTCTTTTTTCTGTATGATCCTGGCTGTGCTAACAGGCAGTCTGTGTGTGTCATCACATCCTGAATAACACTATTGCTGTGTTTGGTACAGTCATTTTTTTGGTGGTGATTTTCAGTGCAAGCTTTATATAACACAAAAGTATAGCACTGTTTCCTTTTAACTAGCACAGAAAATATTAACACATTAATATTAGTTAGTGTTTATAGTATTTAAACAGTGATTGTTTGCAGCTATGTACATTAATTTTGAATAGTTTACTTATAGTGCTCATTGCAATATTTCTTTCGCTCCACTCTGCTACTAGTGTAACAACACGGAAAAACAGCAAAAAAATGTGTTATTTTGTATGGACATCAAAGCAACAACAAAGCTGTTATTTGTTTTTTCTTTACGTTTCAGAAGATTATCTTTCAATAATCCATAATAATCTATTCTATTCTAATCAGTCTGTGTAGAAACAAATAACCCATCCTGTTAAGATCAGTCTACACTGCACCTTTGGATTGCTTTTGAACTACTTTTGCAATGTTATTGTTGATTAGCTTCAAAAAGAATTATGACACAAAGGAATTCATTGGTCCATTGAAACTGCACAGCAAACAACATATACACAATATATGTTGCAGTCACAATGTAAAAAGCCTAGAACCATAGCCTTCAAAGTAGCTTGTTTCTAAACCAGTAGTAATGCAAAATAACAGATATTCTCTAATCCCTTTCCAATATGTGCACTTTCTTTCTGCTCATAATTAATAATTCCCAGCACTTTAAAAAGAATTAAGACTTGCTACTGTTTGCCATTTGCTGACTGAGGCTTTAGACTGGATATGTGCCAGCAAAGATAAACTTGCTTGCCAATTCAGAACCTGTAGAAAAACACACTAGTCATGGCCTCACATGCCATGTAATATAGCTCAATTTTTTGCCTAATTTAAATGAGAACCCCATTTTGTGGTTCAGTTTTTTCAATTATAAGAAAAAAATCCTACCTTAATACTTTGCATGTTTCTGGGAAATTCTAATTATATAAAAAAGAATATAACTTGCCCACAGTACACACCTCTTAGATTCTATTCTAGAAGAAAGAAAGGAAAGGTGAAAGGAAGAGGCGCATATGTTAAAACTGATCTGGGATTACTTTAATACACATTGGCAATCCAAAACAGCCATATTACTGAATATTGACCATAATATTTATGATACATTATGTATAACATGCCTATAAACAAACTATGCCAATATATTAATATTAAAGATGAAAGACGAGCTCCTCAGCTAATGTAAATCAGCATAGCCCCACTGATTTATAACAGCTGAGGATCTGGCAATATTTACTTTCATACATGTACAGGACACCTATCATACCATTACACTAGCTACGTTTCTCTCTTCATTTTAAAAAAACCATCTCTGTCAGCTATCCAGGTCTATACCAAGGTTGTGGAGGAATGTGAAATTGCCTGCGAAATCTCTGCAAAATAAACCTCATCCAATGGAGTTGTCTATGTGATTTATTTTTTAAATAAAGTAAATATATTAACTCAATGGCTTGATTAAACTTCTGTTATCTAGCCATGTTTCATTGTTGCTATGTTGGTGAAATCCTACAAGCTTTTGGCAGATATCCGGAAATTATCATCTCTATGTAACTCTATGGATGTATGAAAATAGACATGCCACACACACGTCCCCATATGGGTGCACAAGGATGGCATTTAATTACAAACATGTAGATGGGGTCCTGATCCTGAGAACTCTTACTCAGACTCTTACTCAGACAAGTATTCTCATGAAAATGGAGTAATCTCATTGACTTCAGCAAGAACTACTTGTTTAACTGCTTCAGGATCAAGCCCTAGAATAGTAACCTAAATTACTGCTTAGAAGCCATAAATTAGAAAGTATGACAGAACATTGAATACCTTGATGAAACGTTGGAGAATTTGTTCAAGGATGGACAAGAATCATATCAACATGATAATACTGCTAATGGTAAGCTTGATTTCCCCGCCCTCCCCAAATTAAATAGTTACATGGATACACAATTACACTTCTGTGCAATCTTTAGTGATGTATTATCTAGGTCACACCCGCACAACACACAAAGTATAACTAGTGGTTATTTTGAAGAAAGAATTGAAATATTTTAAATTACATATAACTACATAGGCTACACATTGAAAGGACTTCTTCAAGCCATGCTAAAAGGTATGCTCCACCGGCTTAGATACGGCAACTATTCCAACTTTGCAGTTCTATCCTCAGGTGGACTTTGCATCTATGGTCAGGATATATATCAAAATATGCATGTTTAAATCCAAAAGACTAGTATACAGCCCTTGGAACAGAAGGATGATAGTTGCACTGATGATGTATATGC